CCGGGTTCAATGCGTCGGTACTGAAACAGCGCTTTCCAAATTCAACCTTAAAGCTCATGTAAAGGGGACTGCTAATACAGTCTGTGCTCCACTAGGATCAATTGTAGTATCTGTTCTGATCAGTCTTTGTTTTTTTTCTTTTCTTTTTTTCTTTTCTTTTTTTTTTTCTTTTTTTTTTGGGGGGGGGAAGTTCTGATCAGTCTGATACTAGTGGTCCATCGGACCACAATTAAAGAAAAAARAAAAAAAAAAAAAAAAAAAAACGGACAGTGGGACGTAGCTCCACTTACTGTCCATTTTCTGTGTGCAAAATGGCTTGGTCATCTGTCAGAAATACCTTGGAAAATTGACTGCCCAGTTTTGTATAGCTCCCAGCCTGCACAAGTACTTTCGTGGACTGTCCTCGTAGGAACCCACGTACCCTCCCTCCGCCTTGTTGGACAGAGAGCCTGGAGTCTGCTGGGCGTAGAAAATGCTATCAAGGTTGTGGGCCTCGCTGTACTACTCTAGACTCTCGGAATATTTTGAGAGTTCGACTAGCAATGTCAGAGAGCCGAGACTCTTGAAATACCCGCCTTCGCTGCGCTTACTCTATAACCTATTACACTAGGTGAACTCTCGAAACCCTGGGTGTCGTCCTACTCGACAGAACAGCTGCACCACTGCGCTACGGGACGAAGTCTGGCCGCCGGGACAGGAGGTCCACTCTTGAAAAACGAGCCTGTCGGCGGGCAACTCCCGAGGACACTTGCAAATTCCGTTTTTCCAGGGGGGGGACTCTCGACGTTTCGAGAGTTGCATTATAGAGTGCCTTCCGACAGCTCTCGATCGGGTTTCGAGAGTTTCCAGATCGAGAGTAAGTGCAGCGACGACCCACTCTTGAAAATTAGAGAGTCTAGAGTAGTGCAGCGAGGCCCTGTGTCTTGTAGTGCTGCACCCATGTCTCGTAGGGAACTCACAAATTTGGGTGATGTATAGGGCCTCGCTGCACTACTCTCCAGATGCACAAAAGACAAAAACAATGGCAATGTATCTCTCCATGTCCTAGCAGTGGATGCAGTCTCATTTTGGGCATTTGGAGAGTAGTGGAGAGAGGCCCACAGTGTACAGCAAGCGGAGCGATGCCGCGTTTTTTTGTACGCTCCCATAGCTGTCCACGAACTGTCCACAATTTTGTACAGCGGACAGTAGTGGAGCCAGCCCCTAAATGCAGAATCGTCGCAGATTGTATAGCAAAGAGAAACTGCACTGACCATTTTGAAAGCAGCCCTTGAATAAGGCACACATTATTTCTAGGAATAGAACAACTGCTTTCGCAGCTAATAATGTGTGGCAGCAGCCGGCATGTAGTACGCTTATGCAGACTTGGACAAAGGAGATTCTTATGGATTGTGCACATCACATTGAATTTGTATGATTGTAGACAAAGGCAAGGACCCCACTGCAGTGCGGATGGAAAAGACGTTTGCCCATGAAAAGCCGGCAAGTCATTTTGGAAAGTCCGAAAGTACTTTTTCCGGGACCCCATCGCAGAGGACCAAATGCGGTTGGAAAACCCTTTGGAAATCAGTTGAGCCAATCGTTGCCTGTTTCCTGTTGGCACTCCGTTGTTTTGTTCTTTTTTTCCGTTTTTTTTTTTTTTTTTTGGTGGCACTCTTCATCTCTATTGGCTGCTGCCTCCCGTGCTACTTTTCCAGGAAAGACATGCCCTCCCCCCTATCCTCTAGAGTCCGCACAAAACTTCAGCGAGGAATCCTCCGGTGAGACTTTTCCAGGCCGCGGACTATGTGAAAACACAAAACGATCTTTTTCCAAGCCGTAATCTTCGGTCTGTGGAGTCCTGGAAAAGGATTTGCGGAAGAAATTTCTTATTTTCCAGGACCTTTGCGGCAGGCTGTGGGGTCCTGGAAACAGTTTTGTGGAAAAGTTTTTCCTTTCCTCGGTCCTGTGGGGTCCTTGCCAACGTAGCATTATTCAGTCTCAACTACCTGCTACCGTCACTCCCGAACCCAGCATTGCCAACCATTGTCCGGGCAACCATTGTAAACAGATCAATAGATTATAACACAACCGCGGTAAACAGATAATAAAGGGCCTCGCCACACCTCTCTTGAAACGGGGAAAGTTTCTAAGAGCTGTCAGACGTTCTCAAAAGTTGGTTTTTCAAGAGTTATGGGCCCCTCGCCACACAGCACTCTCGAAAGCATGATGGTGTTGGACAAACGATGGAAAACGACAGTCGTGCAGCTTTGTTTTTTCCGAATGGCGTCAGGATAACCGCCTGACAACTCTTGAAAATAGATAGTCCATCAAGGGTTCGGCCAAGGACGCTTGAAAACGCACGAGTTGCGTGCAGGCTGGGACTTCCAATCTTTCAAGAGCCCCTCTTGAAAAGGGGTTTCAAGAGGATGCCACTCTGACAGCTCTTGACTGCCCCAAGTCAAGTGTCAAGAGGCTATGTGGCGATGCAGCAACTCTTGAAAAAGAGTTTTGAAGAGTGGTGTGGCGAGGCCCAAACTCTGGAGAGGACATCAAAATGCGGAGACAGTGGAGAGGGTGGAGCTGCTGCAAATTGTGTGTACATTTGGGCCAAGTAAGAGAAATAAATTGATTGTGTGTACATTTCCGCAAAGTAAGAGAAAGAAAAGGGACATCAGGTGGTTTGCTTCCACACAGGGTTCGGCCTGTCTTATCTATCAGATCCCAACGCAATAAATTAATTTCTGTGGTGTTGCTGTTGGTTCACCATCACGAATAGATTGGAGCATTTTGTCAAAAAAAAAAAAAAGTTGTCCAGAAAACAAAAACAGAAGTCACAGAAAAAACCACCTGCTCAACATAGCTGGGCCGAGCTCCCACTAAATAACAGGGTTGGATTAAGCACCTGAATCTGGGTGGGGTTGAAGCACATATGCAGAAACGCAGATCTATAATCGTGATTTTCTGCACCTCTCCCCAAACACGTCCAGATTCGGGCATGAAATGCGGATTCTCCTTCCTAGTGGGAGCTTGCCCGTGCTAGTGGGAGCTTGACCCTGCTAGTGGGAGTCTGTGGGTCTTGGCTCCACGAAGGCACTATCCTGGTGGCAACTCTTACCATCCTACCCATCCACTGTCTACTGCCGCCCACCACTTGCTTGTCAAGCTGTCAGCAGGCTGAAGGCTTGGGGGAGAGGCTCAGGCACTCAAGCTGTCAGCCGGCTGAAGGCGTGGGGGAGAGGTTCAGGCACTCCAGGAGGACCTACCGCATTTTTTGTACCTCCCAGGACCTGGTTCTAATGAATTTGGACTGGAGGGGCAGGCCTGTTCGGCTAATGGCCGCCCCAACGGGTAGGTACTGGTGGTTTAGAAGGCCAGTACCTTTCCCGAATGTTGGCCGCGGGCGGGGTGCGCTGAGCATTTGGGATTCACCTGGCCGACGGGCCTGGCTGGGGCCGTCTTCTGTGTTAACTGGTGGGCTTTTGTTTTTGCCTGGGAAAGCTACTGGGGATTTAACATTTTCTATTAAGGTAGGCACAAATCTAGAGCAGTTGAGCACATCTGCAGCTGGACATACCCCAATGCCTGCACCTAAGCTGGGTGATGGTCCCAGAGTTGCTTTTTTCCAGGTTGTTTGTGAAGAAATTCCCGGCCTTCTTCCCTCTTTGACCTCTTCTTGTTAAAACACCACTACCTTTCTCATATGTGGGGCCGCGGGCCTGAAATTCAAATTCGGCCACCACGCGCTGTCGATGAAAAATATCGATGGCGGCGTGGCAGCTATTTTTCAGGAGTAGGCTACTAGATGCCCGCGGCCGACATATGGGAAAGGTTGTGGTGGTTTAAAAAATAAATAATAATAATGTACGGCAGCGAGTCAGTGCCCGCCGTGTGACATTCCGTGGCATCAACTGCAGTTACTGCAAGATCATATTTTGCCGAAGGTGGCAAATAGTCCTCCACTTGTTTTTCCTTTTTGTCTTTAACCAAGCAAAAATTCATCATTGCAAACAGCTTTGGGGTTTCCAGCTAATCCAGAGTGGCCCGGAACCACTTGCCCGCCCGGGCCGAAAAGGAAAAAAAAATCGGTGATGAATTTAGATTGGACCTTCAAGTCGATGCAAATTTTGTTCAGTTCTTTTTTCTGCCTTAGGGCCTGGTTGCACTTACTCGCCGAACTTGGTGCGAGGAAACCTGTCAGAACTTTTGCCGAGTTTCCTTTTTTGTTTCGGCCACAGAGTGCGGGGAGTTCCCAACGCTGTACTGCTATAAATTTCGTGGAGTGTCATCCTCATGACCTCTCCACAAAACAACTTCTTGGCGAGTGCAAGGCTTTATGAGTGGAGATCAGACACACAATTTTTTTTTAAACTTTTCTGAAGAAGAAATATAGTGTGGAGGGCGTCGTTCGACACTCCTCGGAGCGTCCTCGAGCTAATCCTCGGAGTTCTTTTTGATTTTTGGAGGCGTCGTTCCACCTGTCCTCGGAGAGTTGCCCCGAGGATGCATCCTCGGGGCCGTCCCGCGGCCAGTTTCATGAGATTATAGACGGCCGCGAGGGTGTTGTCCGACATCCGATTCGGGATGTCCGTGTGCGAGGCGCGCTGGTCCACCAGCCGGACGGCGGCAATACGTCACGGGCCGTGGAAAATAAAATTGCGAACGCGGGAACGGCCCCGTTCGAAATTCGAAATTCGAATTTTCTCCGCGCGGAACGACGGTGTGGCGGCGCACAGGCGGAAGAGCACGTCGACTGGGGGACGAGCGCGCAGGCTTGACGTCGCATTTCGTACTTCAGCGGCACCGCGCCGCCACCGTGTGTAGTGTGTTCGTCGCCGGCAAAACGAAGCGGCATGTCAGCAGTTGCGCTCGCCACGTGCATGCGAGCGGCGCTTCCGTGGTTCAGGGGCGGAGGACGAACGCTCCCATCGCGGTGTAAGTTTTGTCATCACGCCTGTCTTCCACACCTCGTTGTAGGCGTCTTCGATCGTTGCCGTGGACGTTGATTCACGCAGGTGGGTGGCGGTGGACGTTGCTCTTCCTCGTGGACGTGCGCGAATGGAGGGATGCGATGGGGGTGGCCGTGCTGTGCTGTCGCCAACGGAGAGGACAGCTGTCGCGGCGGCTGCCGTTGCCGTAGTCCGTCGATACGAAGTGGAGAGGGCGGCGGGCCGCATGAAGGCAGCGCTTTCCAGGCGGCGACACAGGCTTCTGCTGCAGAGGGTGTTGGACGCCCCCGACTGCATCACGACTTCAGAGGCCGTGGTTCAGCTGTGCGCTGCAATCGGCTCCGGTGTGCTTCCCAGGGCGACGCCACGTTGGTGGATGAGGCGGAAAACTGGCGGGACTTGGGAGGATTTGCGGGTGTGCGATGACGTGACGGATGACTACTTCCGGGAAAAGCTCCGCATGTCGAGGAGAGTGTTCATGGAGATCACTCGAAGCCTGTGCGCCTCATTTGCAACGACAGGTCACGTTTTACAGGGAGCCGCTTCAGCCGGAGCAGATCGTCACGTACGCGCTGTATAGGTGGGCAACAGGAGAGTCGTAAGACAATAGCACATCATCGTTCGGCATGGGCAGAGCATCCGGAGTTCGAGCCGTGCGCGATGTGACAGCCGCGTTGTTGCAGGTCTACGGGGACAAGATATCGTGGCCGACGGGGGTGCGCAAACACGTGGTGCTACGGGCGTTTCAGGACAAGGGCTTTCCCAACTGCCATGGCGCAGTTGACTGCACACACATCTACGTGGACAAACCGGCGAACGCTCCGAGCGAGAACTACTTCGACCGCAAGCACCGTTTCTCCGTCATTGCGCAGGTGGTGGTGGACCTAAATCTGCGTGTGCTTGACGTCTTCGTTGGCTACCCGGGCAGCTGCCACGACATTCGGGTGATCCAGCTGTCAAGTCTGTCGAGGCGCGCGGAAGAGGGAACGCTTTTTCGAGGGCCGCCTGTAACGCTGCCGGGAGGGATGAGGACGAACGGATATATCTTGGGCGACAATGGGTATCCTCCTTCCGAATGGATCGTGGTGCCGTACGGAGGAATCAATCAGCACCCGGACGAGGAAAGGTTCGACAACAAACAGAAGGTCGCTAGAGGTGCTGTGGAGAGGGCGTTCGGGAGGTTGAAGGGGATGTGGAGGCTCTTCCTGCGGTCGCACAAGACGAACTTGGATACTCTACCGCAGCAGTTCATGGCTGTCTGCGTTCTCCACAACATCCTACTAGATGCTGGAATCGAGTTCGACGAGAACTTGTTGTGGGAGGTCGACGAGAACGGGGTGAGGCGGCGAGTGGACCTGGGGATTCATCGTCCACTGCAGCCAGTGACGATGCTGACATCGACGCACGCCGCACACGCGCTCCGCAATGCCCTAGCGGAGCGAATGAAACACATCTGATCGTGCGTGTCGCGCCACTCTGCCTCGCCTACACAAACAGAAGCCGTGTGCGTCTGTCGTGGAGTCGCAGCGCTTGCGTCATTCACGAATGCGCGCAGTTAGCTCGCAGGGTTTGCAGTGGCGGACGGCTCGTTTGTAGGTGTTTGTTGTTGTAGTCGACGGTAGTGTGCTTCTACAGGTCGTGGGTGATCGACAGTGAAGGGGCTCAATTGTCGTCGGTGATCGGCAGTGACGTCGCTGTTTCTTTTTTCGTTGTTCATTGATGTCGTCCTTCTCGTGGCGGTGTTCCCGCGCAAATCCGTGGGCATGGGGATGGGAAATGTGAGGGGGGGGGGGGGGGGGGAGGGGTTTTTCGGTGCTTGGTGGGTGGCGGTGCGGAGCAGGTCGACACCCCTCTGTTTCGCATGTGCTTTGGATCGCTGTTTTGCTTGAAATTATAAGATATTTGTATTTATTTATTTATTTGTGTGAGGTCGCCGTCGTGCGTCAGGCTGCTGTCCGTCTTTTGATGACACGTGTTTTCTGTCCACCACATGTAGCGTCTGTGATGCATGTGGTCTGCAATACTCTGCGTTCGGTTGATGCTGTTGGTGAAGCTTCGATGTTGAACTGATGACGACCACGTGCATGGAATGAAATGTAAACAGACAATTTTCTCGTGATGGGTTCATATTTTGGCAAATGGTTGAAACCCCTCTTGTAATTTTTTCGATGGGTTCGTGCATTGTTTGTTTTCGTTTCTTTTTTTCTTCCCCTTTATCTGTGGTGTTCAACATGAACAGAAGTTGTGGACGACATGGCGATGAGCAATAAGAAGAGCCTGAGAGTAGAAGCTGTGGACGCGATTCAGATGATCATTAACGATTATCGTGCATGATAAACCCGCATACAACAGAAGAAAAGCAGTAGTGGCTGAGCAATAAGAAGCATACAGTCACACGACGTTCATATAGAAACATAAATGATTGCATAAAATCCGTTCAAGTACAGAAAAAGTTGTGGCGGCGACCGACGTTTCTCCTACCTATCCACCCTCCGTCCTCACTATCCACTCTCCAACCGCGAAACACGAAGGACGAACTTATCCTGCCATTTGCGCAGTGCTGCCACGTGTCACCCCCATGATTAACAAACCCTTTTGTGGAGCACGACTAGAAAGTGTGCTCTAATTCCTAAAAGACTACATGAAAAAAAAAAAAAAAAAAACAGGAGCCGCTCACAACACACACAATACGGAGCCATCTGCCGACGTCGCCACGCCGCTGGACCGCGCAGTCTTCGCCACCCTTATCGTTCGACGAGGTGAGAGATGTTTCCACAGCTCCGCCTTGACAGACTGCTGCGCTGGACCTGCCACCTCACCTATTCGCCACACCCCCCACCCCCAACACCTGGCAACACCTGTCCCGCCTGTGCGCTACCGTGTCCACTTACAGGCGCACACTTCCTCCTGTCTTCACCACTGTCGACGAAGCGTCGACGATGCGCACCAACCCGCTGCCATCTGCCCGAGATGACGTGTCACTTTCCATCATCCTCCATCGTCATCCGCCGCGGGCCCGCTGCCGATCCACCCGTGTTTTGCGGCCTCCACCGAGTTCTTCAGGGCCGCGTTGTGCCCGAACACCAACCGGCAATCACACCATTCCGGGATGCATTGCGGGTAATCTCCCAGCGTGAGGTGGGCCTTCCCTAGACGATCGAGGACGAGGTTGGCGGAGTCCACCACGTGTCGGCGCCAGTTGAAGATGTACGACCCCGCCGCTATCCTCGTCGGTTTCACAACCATGGACGCGTACAACTATGCCTCGTAATGCGATCGGTCGTCGTCACCTCTTATGCGCATGATCCACATGACCGCGCACAACAACGCTCGCAGACAGTCCGCCAGCCTGGACAACCTCTCCTGTTTTATGCGCCCGCCATCCGCCCACTGTCCGCACCAGAGTGCATCTGTCCAGCACTCCGCCAACCGAAGAACTGTTGCCTCCTGCCACGCCGCCATGTCGTCGTCTTCCAGGCGGTCCTCAATCTTCACCCCCGCGAACCACAAAGGCACGTCCATCTTCATCGCCAGCGTGTGGTAGACAAGTGCAGGGGATACCACTCTCGACCATTCCAAGGCCTGCTAAACTGCTCGTGCGAGGTCCGTGGCGAAGTCGACGGTGATGTACGACTCTGCACGAGCGAAGCCAGTCGACCTCGACTGCGATTTGAAGATCCAATTGTGGATGGTGCGCAGCACTACTCTCTCCACGCTGCGCGCTTTGCGGAGAGCCGGTTCACGCTGCGCCGGGTCGTCGATCTTGAAGCGCGACACGTCATTCGGCGGCATGATGAGCATCGAAGGCGTCTCAGCTCCTGCGTCTCCGTTGGCGATGGCGACGAAGTAGTCGGTGCATTCGCCTACCGCCTCCCTCAGAGGTTTCCCGGGACCCTAAGCCCAGAAAGCGTCGCAATCAACCCACAACTTGGCCTTCTCTTCCAGCTCGTCCTCCTTCGCCGCTCCCTTCCCCCTCGACACAAGTGGACGGTCGTCGCCGTCATTGCCCTCCCGCTTTCCATCTCTTCGGCCATCGTCACGGCCAACGTCATCGACCCTCCCCTTTTCCGCACCTTCGGCGACTTCGCCTTTAGCTGTGTGATCTGCCGCCGCCGTCCGACTGGTGCTCGTCGTCGCGTCACCCTTTTGCGCGGTCGCCGTGTGCCCTCCCCCTGATGCCCCCACGTGTTGCAGGGGGAGTGGCTGACGTGGCTAACCTTGGTCTGCCGCCGTCGAAAGTTGTCCCACGACCCGCGCGCCAGTGATGACAACCCCTGCCGTGTCTGGGGTCCTTGGCACCGTCCCGGCAGCACCGCCAACAACGCTGTGTTTCAGTGCTTGCAGCTGCTCCCTCGATAAACCATCCCGCCCGAAACCCAACCTCGCGACCCCTGCCGTCCCTTGCGCGTCCACCATAGCCACTTTGTCTGTGAGGAAGTCATCAGTTTGTGAGGAGCTCGCGTCATCGATGCGCTGGCTTTTCGACTTCGGTATGTGGCCTCTGCCTCTTTGGGTTTCCCCACCGTCGCCCACCCCGCCATCTTTACTGCCCTTCGCTGAGGCGCCCCGTGGGGGCATCTGGTCCGCAAATCGGAAACAATGACCATGTAAACGAAGGCTGCCTTCGACGAAAGACCGAGCGGAAAAAGGACGCGTGGCGGTTCAGTGCTGCCACGTGGACGGAGGACGACGTGGATGATGCAGATGACGGGGCAGTGGTCGTGGAGCCGCGACGACGATGGCGACCGAAATGGAGATCGCGGACGACGAAACACGTTGGCGGAGGAGCACGTCCACGAAGGATGACGTCGACGAAGGAGCACGTGGACGGAGGCGGCGTTCAAGTCCACGACTGGCACATGGGCGATCGGGACGTGGGCGATGGGGACGCGGGACCACTTGTTTGATGCGCATGAAGGGGCATTGTCCGCGCAGCACGAAGCAGGAGCGTGGAGCGGCGAATCGGAGTTGCAGGCGCGCGACGACGAGCAGGTAGGCAGACGGTGCGAGAGGGAGCCGTGGCTAAGGAACCACTGCGGTACGGAATGGCGGGCGGAATGTCCTTTTCTACGTACTGCGATGTGAAAGTACACCATGGACATGAGTCCCCGTCCACTATAGCCCGCCCCTTCGTCGCTCGCCCATGGTCCATTTTCCTCCGCAGGCGCATGTCATCCCTCGCATGGCCAACATCGGAAGTGGGCGCGCAGAAGGACCTTGGCGGAGGTCGAAAAAGCCCACCAACCCAACGACCCCCTCCCGCCCGAAAATCACACCCTTCTCCGAAACCCCCGGAGATCGCCATCCATGCGTGCCGGCGATGCCTCACTACAACAGTCATAATATTCTATAATCGAACGATGTATTGTACCACCAAAGGACGCGCCGTGGGGCATGACAACAATCATACCCATTCTACAATGAAATCATCAAATAAATGCATACTTAAAAAAAAAATAACTGTGCGGCCAAAAAACAACCAGCCGTCTGTACACAACCTGCCCATCTCGTCACTGCAGCACGCAGGACAATAATGGCACGCGTGGCGGGGAGACGTCACGATCGCTCGCGGATCGCTTTAGCAATCTTCATAAGTGCGTTGCACATCATGAAGTTCGCCTGGTCGGCCTTAACGTAGTGTTCCTTCTGCACTTCCACCTCTTGCTCCAGAATGTCGCACTGCCTAGTCAGAATTGAGCAGTGTCTCTTGCTCGCGTTGTCCACGGTTGTCGCCATCAGACTTCCGTGCTCCTTCATCACGTCGACAATCGTGTCGAAGGTCTGCTGTCTCACATTCTTCCGTTTGCTGCCCCCGCCAACACCACCGCCGCTGATAGAATCCCTCGTGGACCCCAGATCGTCGTCATGTCCATCCCCGCCCCCCTCACTACCGCCGGATTCATTCCGACCTCCGCGTGGGCCGGGCATTTGAACACCTCCAGTCGCACCAGTGTCGACGAGATTGGTGGGGTGTATGGTGTGATCGCTCCTGGTCATCGCCGCCATCTCCGAATACACACGCTCATCCATCCGAAAATCAAACCCCCGCTCCTTCCTCTCCCCTGGCGTCAGTGTGAAGAAATTTGGCTTCCCCAATTCTCCCATAAACTTGTGCACGGTTTTGAATTGCTGGTACAGGTTGTCCCATTTCTTCTCGCAATCGACGACCTTTCTACTCGTGACCCCCATGTGCACCAGCCTCTTCTCCGCGTCGTCCCACTTCCATGTCTTCGTCTTCATCCTTCCCGTGGTGTACGCGAGGCCGGCAAGATGCGAATCCTGGTCTCTTTTTGCCCGGATGAGAACAATCATGTGCTCCACGGTCCAAAAATGCCGACTTTTCGAACCCTCGCCAGCCGACGCATCTTCCACACCCTTCTTCCCCCTCCGCCCCGTGCGCGTTTCCGGCAACTTTTTCGTGGCCCTCGACCCTCCCTGCTTTCTCCCTACTGGACGAATCTCCATCTCCTCGTTGTCCTCCTCGTCGTCGTTGTCGGCCCCGTCGTCTGCCTCGCAATCCTCCGCCACTGCACCATCTTCATCGCCGAGTATATCGTCCGCCCCCACGTTAATCTTCGCCACCCCTCTTGTTATGCCGGGCGTGCTCGCTTCACGCGATTGTCGCCGATGATCATCCCAAACCTTTCGACCAATGACCTCCGTTGCAGACCACTCATCGTTTGGGCGTCGTCCGTCCACTGTGCCACCTGCCGTCGTCGTTCTACATGGAACTGATCCGCCAGTCCGCGTTGTCACTGGAGCTGGTGTGTGGGTCGTGCCCGAAGCTGGGTTCACGATAACGGTGCGCATCACCTCCTCGGCACTCCTGGACCTCAATCCGAAGCTGAGATCCGCCAGTCCTGCGTCATAACCAGCCGGGGTACGCCCCTCGAGAAGATCAGTGTACGTCGGCGTCGATGCCTGCCTGTACAACTGGCTCCCCATCCAATCCTGAGTTGGACCGCTGCCCAGAGGTAGGGTAGAACATCGTGGGTCGTCGCCGTCATCGTCACTTGGAGGCAACGGTATCTCGTGGGACGGCAGGTGGCTGTACAGTGCGGGGTCGTACGGCCGCCTGACTGCTTTCGCACTTCTGCAGCGCTGACGTGACGACACCGCAGCCCCAACGGACAGCGTGGTCATCGTCAGTACCCTCTCCATCTTCCTGGCCGTCTTCGACGTTCGCCGTGTCTGTTTCCTCCCTGGAACGCGCACGAAGCAGCAAATATGGAAGACGACAACGGCAAGCAGCAGCACAACGACGAGCAGCAGCTAAGGCAGCCGGCGGTACAGGTCTGCCATGAACGACAGGGCAGCAGAAACAAAAGACGCACTTGCGCTGTGGCAAAAGCGGCGAACGGAGACAAACGGTGCGAGAGGGAAGACGCCAACGAATGAAATTGATGCAATCTCGCAACTGGCTGCAGGAGGGCGCTTACAAAATACGTATTTTCGATCGTTGTGGAGCACGCGGGAACGGCACGACCACTGAAGGAGCCGGTCGAAGACGTCCGATGCTCGCCACTGGACCTTCACCGGGACACCCGATGAACCGACACGGCCGTCCCGCGACGATCACCGCCAACGGTAAAACGACGAGGCCGTTACTCAACGTTTTGGACGCCCACGCCTCAAGATGTCCATCTTCCGCCTTCCGGACCACCTCTGGACCACTTTCGACCTCCGTTGCCCCTTCGTGACGCGCGGCCAACACCTCGATAATCGCGGATCCTCGGGCTCCAAAGGACCTCGCGAGGTCCCTTGAACCCGAGGACGATTTGGCTGGGAAATCCTTGGAGCCCGAGGATTTGTCCTCGGAGTGTTTTCACATTTCTGTTCCGAAAATCGGCTCCGAGGACAGGTGGAACGATGACGAAATCTTCGAAATCGCGTCCCCGAGGAGTGTCGAACGACGCCGTAAGTGCAACTAGACCTCCACGTAGACACTATTCTAGTTTTTTATATCGCCACACATCCACCACGAATTGTGGTAGATGGGGAGTAGTGCAACTAGGCCCTTACAAGGCTTACATAGTTTCTTCTTTGTTTTTTTTTTTGGTTGAGGGACCTTCCCTGGCCATTCCCAACTCGTCTGGGCAACGACCGTGAGCATGACAGCCTGGTTGGTCGCCCAGATTTCTAGCTTTCTGGTTCCTCTCTCTCTCTCTCTCTCTCTCTCTCTTTCTCTCTCTCTCTCTCTCTCTCTCTCTCTCTCTCTCTCTCTCTCTCTCTCTCTCT